TTAAGGTACATGAACTGTTATGAAGTGCAAGAGTCCTTCCATGAACGTTCAAAACGTGTAAAGTACTTGCAGGTGCTTCCTTCCCCGCCCACCAAGTGCCTAATCTGTACAAATTCAGACTGGACTATGTGTAAGTGAGTTTTCAATGTGAGACACTTATTTACAATTAATCATAATACTGCAATGTTTGTTAGAAGCCTACCTTGACAAGGCATGTCATTACTTCCCCAGCAACACTTTGTCTAGCTTACAGGAAAAAGCCTCTGAAGAACAGGCAAACTACCTTAACTTTTCACCTGGCTCACAGATAATGCCCCTTTGCCTTCCTGTTAACGTTTCCATCGTTATTTACACTTTGTTAAGATAAATATTTAATTTTTGCCTGATTTTGTTTATGACATAAAAACAGGAAGGGTATTTCCACTATACGGGTAAAGTTATTCATTGAGAAACTAGTTTGGCTCCATTACATCAAGAAAACAGCATCCTGGTGCCATTGGCATTGTACCAAATGAGCAAGGACTTTGGACATGATAAAATGCACATGACAGCAAACAGTTTAGGCAAAATAACAACACTGGACACTTCCACAGCACTCCACTGTCTGGCAGCATTTACACATAGTAGCTAACTGAGCCTCAAAACCCTCTGCCAGGGGGTTCAGTGTCACTGTGGCCGTTGGACAAATGGGGAAAGGAGGCACACAGAGAGGGAAGGGGACTTACTTGCCAGCACACTGCAGCGAGGGTTAGAAATACAGCAGCTCCGAACTCCCAGTCCCCACAAGCTCAGGCTTTACCCACAAGACTTTGTTAAGGGGCTCTCCAACCCTTCTCCAACCCCTCCGCAGCAATACAGCCCCCTTCGCCTCACCCCCTGCCCAAGAGAGAACAAAGCCCAATGACCCCCCAACACCTCCCCCACACACCTCTCTCCTACCCCCCCGGGACAGCCCCCCCAACCCAGGCAGCCCCCCCACCTCTCTCCTGCCCCCCAACCCCAGGCAGCCCCTCCGCCTCTCTCCTGACCCCCGCCCCTTCTGCCTCCCCCAACCCCGGGCAGCCCCCCCCACCTCTCTCCTGCCCCCCCAACCCCAGGCAGCCCATCCCTCTCTCCTGCTCCCCCCAAAACCCCGGGCAGCCTCACTGCCTCTCTCCTGCCCCCCCAAACCCTGGGCATCCCCCCCTTCTCCTGCCCCGTGCCTCTCTCCTGCCCCCCCAACCCCGGGCAGCCCATCCCTCCCTCCCTCCTGCTCCCCCCAAAACCCTGGGCAGCCCCCCCACCTCTCTCCCGCCCCCCAACCCCAGGCAGCCCCCCCACCTCTCTCCCGCCCCCCACCCCCCCCCCCCCCCTCTCTCCCGCCCCCCAACCCCAGGCAGCCCCCCCACCTGTCCCCCTCCTCTCTCCTGCCCCCCAACCCCGGGAAGCCCCCCCCACCTCTCTCCCGCCTCCCCAACCCCAGGCAGCCCCCCCACCTGTCCCCCTTCCTCTCTCCTGCCCCCCAACCCCGGGAAGCCCCCCCACCTCTCTCCTGACCCCCGCCCCTCCTGCCTTCCCCAACCCCGGGCAGCCCCCCCCACCTCTCCTGCCTTCCCCAACCCCGGGCAGCCCCTCTCCCCTCCCCCCCCCCCCAAAACCCTGGGCAACCCCCCCTCCTCTCTCCTGCCTCCCCCAATCCCGGGCAGCCCCCCCACCTCTCTCCTGACCCCCGCCCCTCCTGCCTCCCCCAACCCCGGGCAGCCCCCCCCACCTCTCCCGCCCACCCAAAACCCCGGGCAGCCCCCCCCCCCCCCCACCCTCTCTCCCACCCCCCGTCCCCCTCACCTGCTCTGCCCCTCGCTCCCGGGAGGGGGTGTCTCTGGTATCACCCGGCCCGGGCCGTCCCCTCCGGCGAGGGCGGGGGGAGGGGGAGGGGAGGGGAAGGGCGCTGGCGCCTGCATCGAACCTCCCCCTCCGCACCGCGCGGCGGCGGCGCTATGACAACTCCCCACCCCGGCGCCGCCAGCCAAAGAGACGTGGGCCAGAGCGGTGGAAGCCAGCGAGAGGAGGGCTAGAGCGGCCTCTCGGCCCTGCCGGCCGGCGCCGCCACAGCGACCGCTGGTGGGGAGGCGGGGGCAGCGCCACTCAGGCCGGGAGTGGTGCTTAGACCATGAGGGCGGAAATAACTAGTCCCTGGGAAACAGGGTTCGAATCCCGCCCGAGGCAGGGGCGGGTCCCGGCGGGTCCCCTCACCTAGCTAGCAAGTGTGAAAAATCAGGAATTCTTTCAGGGAGTGGGCTAGAGTTGCTTATATAAAATAAAGCCCCTAATATTGGAACATCTGGTCACCCTAGCCTCACCCCACTACAGAGCCTGGTGCCAGGGTCCCCTCACCTTGTAAATCCAACCGTGGGATTTACAAGAGCAAATCCCCAGGCCCGACCTAGCTGGAGCTTCATAACCCTGGGCAGGGCCCTGTTTCAGGATCAAATCTGAATGCCCCCAGGCAGAGTCCAGGTTCCAACATCATCCCGTGAAGCAGGGCCTGGGTCTAAGATCTGACGCCCCTGACCCGTGGGACAGGGATCAGGGTTCAAACATTTACCCCAAGCAAGAGCTGGCTTAGGGTTTGAATCCCTGCATAGGACTCAACTGGGGGAATAAATCTGAACCCAAGAGCAGCCCTGCTGGGGGTTCAGATCCTGGCCGGAGTCACAGCTGCTCTTCCTTCTCTTTGATGCATTGAGTTCCACTGCGATTACTGTTTCTGGCTTTTTGGGGGCAAAGAGTGAGATCATGTCTGCTCTGGGTGCATATTAAAAATGCCCTGGCCACTTTGCGCTTTTCCACTAACTTGCAGCTGCATGCACATATCACAGTGGTGGAGTGCTATTGAGTCCTCCCTGCAGAAAGGTACTGTCAAGTACATACAAGATAATCTCACTTCTATGAGATATTTGACCATCTTGTTTGCCCTAGCAGCCTCCAGTCATAGCAGCTCCCATCAGAATTGTTTCAGTTCATAGGGATGTCTCTGAATGCATTTCTCACTCTGTTTTCAATTTCATCTCCTGCATTTGGAAAACTATCTAAGGTGCCTTATCTCCCTCTGTACAAGGAACACACTGCATAGCTTGCATTAGAGGAGAGCTGGGTGTGGGCACCAAGATGATTAGCCAGATTCTCATGATATTTAGGACACAAGCCATGTTCAACCATGATTTCATTATAAATGTAGGGAAAGTCAACTTTGGTTGGAAGTCATGCTTTGCCACACAGCTCTGGCTGCTGAATCCAAGATCCTGCCTCTTGCACTGACCCCTACCTTTCAGCTGAAGGCAAGACCCTATAACCATAACATCACTGATAAAACAATACATGCCACTTACATCACACTTTACCTGTTCAAAGTGCTTGAAATGCAGCCAGAAGACTCAGGACATTATCTCTGTCATGAAACTCGCCCCCGTTATTTACCTCACAGCCAACACCAAGAAGGTAGGAACTGCCCCACTCTAAGCGATGGTCTGTCTAGTCCAGTATTCTGCTGTCAGCAGCAGCCTCTCTCTGTTGCTTCAGAGGAAGGCATAAAACACCAAATCGGCTCTGCACGCTGATCCAGGAAGGACATTTCTTCCTTACCCCTTCTGGTGAGCAGCTTATTCCCTGAAGCGTAAGGATTGATAGCTTGTAGCAGTATAGCTCGGCTTTATGCAGTTTAAGCCTTCTCTGCTTAGCAATTTCCTCCAAACCTTTTGCATCACAGCTCCATGATTGTGAAACATACTCTGAGAACAAGCAGTTGCTTCGAGTTTCTTCTTCATTTCCTTGCTTCTGAATATTTGCATATGTTCTGCCCCAGTTGGGGGCATGAGATGAGTCACTACAGTCATCCATAGTGTGGGGAAGCTGTGAAATCAAACTATTGCAACAGGGCTTAGGGCCTTTGGAAGAAGGAGACAGGAAAGGAAGGACAGAACTCTTCCAATCTCCCCTTGCCTCTCTGCCTACTTCCCACCCACTCAAAATAGCCACCCTGACATTTGGAGGCGGTCTTTCATAGAGCTCCTCATGTCCAGCCCTCTGTTCTCCCCCTATCTCCCACCACACATCCCCTACTTCCCAACCCACTCATTCCCCACAGTCCACGCTCTCCAGTTTCTTCTCCAGCTAGCTAGAGTTCTCTCCCCTCCTCCTTCCCTTCCACCAAGTCACTGCACTTCTTCCTATCTCACCTCTGAAGCTTTCCTCTGACTGGCACTTGTGGTGACTAGAGAGCACAGCAATTGCCCAGAAACAAATTGTTTTTTTGCCTCTGGAGACGTTTCCATCTCTGCCCTAATGACTTGGACACTCCTCGGATTCAGTGCACACATTTTCCAGAAGACTCACAAAGTACGCAGAAGAGAACACACACAAAATGTCGTTAAGGCAAGGTTAAAGTTGCAGGCAGGTTTAATGCTGAGGCTTTCAAAGCCACCTTAGGGCTCCGCATGCCCAATGGCCATTCAAATTGCTTAGGTAGCTTTAAAAATCTCTGGCTAAATGCAGGTTACGTAAGGTTGAGGTCAGACTCGATGATCTAATAGTCCCTTCTAGTCTTCACCTCTATGGATCTGTGACAGCATCTGGAAATTTTTATATAATTTCTCTTTCCTACTCCACCTCCCCCAATTTGTACTCCACCTCGGACTCCCAAACTAAATGGAAAAAGTAATAATGACAGATAGGAGTTTACCTGAAAGGTTTATAAACCGGTGTGTAAACACAGCTGGTACAAAAGACATAACAGGTCAAATTTGATAGTGACTTTAAGGGAGCTGGGCCAATCTGCAGCAGCAGAGAATTCGGCCCCCGGTATCTCCACCAGACACGCATGACAACTATTTGCACAGAAAAGTAAGATTGTAAGACAAAAGTCAGTTTGCAAGCTGTGTGGGACAGGGGTTGTCTTTTTGGGTTCGCATAGCACGGGTACTGGTGCCGGATCAATACAAATAATAATTACAAATGGCTTCCAATGATGTTAAACCTATTTTATTTATATCTGGTCACATGGTTCTTTGCTACTTTCCTAGACTACCATGTTGACTTAGCTATTGTGCTTATTGTTCTCACACAGCAATGCATACGCATTACATTGTTGGTTGGCTGAGTTAATGGAAGGTGTTGTACACCTTCTTGTTAAATTATATCCCTGAGAGAACAGAGATCTTGGGTTCTCACAAGCACTGTAGCAACACACAGGTGACAAACAAAATCCAATGGTAGCAAAACCCAGACCTGCTGCTGCCTCCTGGGAAATTCTGAAAAACATGCAATTTAGGGCAATTAGACCGAAATCTCAGATCCCTTTTGTGTGTTTCTTTGCTCCTTTCATTACCAGGGACATTTGCCTGCAGACGAAAATAGAAAATAGACCGTAAGTCCATTTGTACTCTGGGGAAATTTACAAAAACTCCTTCCTGAGTCAAACACCAGTTTGGCTAGAGCAGTGCCAGCAGGAATGGGAGCCATGGTATAGAAAGAAGCTGGACCGGTTTACATCGCAGCATTAGCGAAAAGCAAGTCTAATCAACGTGATGGTAAAAATGGATCCAGAGACCAGAGCCTTGTCTACACTAATGTTCTCACCGGTGCAAACACTGATTCAGCTAAATCGGGGGTGTGTGTTTTTTTGTACTGTTCCCTGAGTTCAGGCCAGGCCTTAGAGTCCATCTGTCCTCACCTGAAATCGTGATCATTTGCAGGCGCAGCAGCTGGTCTAGAATAACCTCATTAAAACAAAGTTCCTGTTTTCCACGCAAAATATTCCTTATAATAATAATTTTTTTAAAAATGAGTCAAAGGAATACAGAAAGCGGTATCAAATACATCAGCCAAGAAGTGCGTAAACACAGGACCAGATCTGCCACTGCTGTCAGTCAGGAGCAACACCCAGTTTGCACCAGCTAAGGATCTGGCCCAAGATACTTATACCTTTTTCCAGCAATTCTTTATGCAATATACCAAAATACCAATACTCCCACCGACAATCTGGGTAGCAAAAATGTGACCATAAAAAGCTCTGAGAACTTCTCTTGTGGTTTCTCTTCAGCAGCCTGTGTCCACCCTCGTGCTGCGACAGAATAAGCAGAGCGGGACCCAGGCCTGAAGGCTGCTGTAGTGATGACCCTTTAGAGGTAGAACAGGACTAAAACTAATGGCTGCTACAGTAGATGGAATTCCAGCTCCTGAAGGTCTTGATGGTATTCTTTATTGAGGCCTCCCAGGGACCCTCACCAGAGGGCTGGAGGTTCTGGGATCAGGCAGCTATAAAAAGCCACGTTACCAACAGTCTGGTGTTTACCCAGCAAAGAATTCAGCAAAATTCCCTTTCACCTCACGACACCCTGAGACAAAGGTTCCCCTGACAATCCACAAAACCCCCAGGAAAGGGCCTGTGGTTTTAACGCACTCCAGAAGAGTGGTACAGCCACACACCGCGCTTGTCCGACTCAGACGCATTCCTCCGAGCTCTCCTTGAAGCCCAAACCTCTCTTGTCCAGGATGAGGGAGTTCCTTAACTGGCGGGGACAATAGGAAACAGCCCAGTTTCTACAGTCCTTTCTTCTGGGACTCCAAGCATCTCTCCTGGGATGGCTCTGCAGTCTTCACCTTTGCAGCTAATATTACTGCCCACAGTAAAGGCCCTTGTAATCTGCTGTTCACTTTTCACTCTCCATCAGCATCCCGCTCCGGAAGCGGCTGGGCTCTCATCCAATACCCCACAGCTTCCGATGTCCAGCTCCACCTCAATCCCAGTTGGCTGTAAGGGAAGCCAAGAGGAAATTAAGCTCACATTATCGAAGGGCTTGTCTATACCGAGGCATCCAGGAAAGTTAATCCGAATTAATTGAAGGTATGAATTTGAACTGGATTAGTGAAACTATTAAATCCCGGTGTGAACACATTCGTTCAGAATTAAGTGGCTTTAAGTCAGTTTATTTTAATTCACTTCCAAAAGTAAATACACACAGGGCTTTAATGTGGTTTAACTAATCCATTTCAAATTCACACATTTAGTTAATTCAGATTAACTTTCCTCTATGTCCACATGTAGATAAGCCCTAAGAGTCCATAATTAAGGGCACATCCGTACTTAGTATCAGTGTTACACTGTAAGCTCTTTGGGGACAGGGATCGTCTCTAACTATTTTATTTAGTGTCCAGTACAATATGGCTCTGATTTTGATTTGGGCTTCTGGATACTATTGCAATACAAATACACTTGACAACAATTTGGCTCAGGAAGGGAAACAGAATATAGGGCTAGATCTTCAGGTGGTATAAATCAGCATAGATCCAGTGACTTCAATGGAGTTACACGGGTTTACACCATCTTAGGGCTTGGCCCATAGTATCTAATGGGAAGCTGCAGTGAGAACAATATGATATAGTCACCCATGTTAGTAACTGACCAGGACATCTGAGCCAATGTTCTTCTTGCAAGTAGGTATATGGGATCTTTAATGACCATGCGTAGTCAGGAGTGTTTCGATGGAACAACTGAGTCAGTGTGACCCAAATTAGAAATGGAACAACTGATTTAGTATGTCTGGAATTATAAAATGGGCCATTTAGAAGCAGGGGGGGAAAAATACATGCACTTCCACAGTTTATAGCTTGGTTGTATTTTTTTCAAGTCCCCAAAGCCCATCACAGCGTCCTGCCGGTGACTCCTGAATGAAGCCAGAGTTCTTGCATTACTTCCCTAAGGACTCAGTCCTTGCCTGGCATCCTATCTCTGACTTAACTCCAAGCCACCTTCTCCACGGCCATCCTCACCACTCCCAGATGGGCTCTCCGGAAAGTCTCACCTGCCGGGGCGATTTTGTTAAGGAAGCAATGCGACGGGTGCTAGCTTTTCCCCAAGTGCCTTCTCTGCTCTCTAACAGCACCCGGGTGCTGGGCACAAAACTCCAGGAGCGACCTAGGGCTGGTTTCAGGTGACCACTGCTGCCATCTCTCGTCACGTGGTTAGTCACCTGGAATGCAACAAACCAGCTTATCATTTCCAGCCAGTTATCAGCAATAATGGCTACTTCTTGCAATGAAAACTTAAACACTTAGAACGTAAGAACATAAGAACGGCCATACTGGGTCAGACCAAAGGTCCATCAAACCCAGCATCCTCTCCTCTGACAGTGGCCAATGCCAGGTGCCCCAAAGGGAATGAACAGACCGGTTATCATCAAGTGATCCATCCCCTGTCACGCAATCCCAGCTTCTGGCAAACAGAGGCTAGGGACACCACTCCGGCCCATCCTGGCTAATAGATTAGTAGAAGATGGGTCCATCAATGGCTATCTAGCTCCCTTTTGAACCCCATCATAGTTTTGGCCTTCACAACACCCTCTGGCAAGGACTTCCAGAGGCTGACAGTGCGTTGCGTGAAAAAATACTTTCTTGTGTTTGTTTTAAACCTGATACCTATTAATTTCATTTGGGGGCCCCTTCTTCTTGTATTATGAGAAGGAGTAAATATCACTTCCTGATTTACTGTCGCTATACCATTCATGATTTTATAGACCTCAATCATATCCCCCCGTGGTCACCTCTTTTCCAAGCTGAAAAGTCCCAGTCTTATTAATCTCTCCTCATACAGAAGCTGTTCTATACCCCTCATCATTTTTGTTGCCCTTTTCTCAACCTTTTCCAATTCCAATATATCTTTTTCAAAATGGGGTGACCACACCTGCGCACAGTATTCAAGGTGTGGAGTACCATGGATTTATAGAGGCAGTATGATATTTTCTGTCTTATTATCTATCCCTTTCTTGATGATGAGGGAGCGAATGGATGCAATCAGCTGCTTCCACTGGTTTTTGTTCCTTTCCTTCCTTTGCTCCTTGTCATGACTGGCCATGCTGCCCGTCCAGTGCTTAATTTGTAATGAAAGAGGTGCCGGGGCTCAAGCAAGTTTTTTTTACTTTAATAACTGATGCGGGAGGCCTAGAGGTGCCAGGGCTATGAACTGCCAAGCCTAGAGGTGCCGGGGCTCACCCCTGGTACAAATTAAGCCCTGTGCCCTTCAAAATATAACATGGTGTGGCTCTCTGTGCCTCTCCAGTGGCTATGCCATGTATACAGGTTTACAAATACGTTACTGCTGCCAAGCTTATCTTTTAGCTCAAGCAGTACTGGACAAGCTTCCCCAAGCAGGCAATTCTCCAGTCCACCACAGTCCAAATCCCTGCCTGGCCACCACTTTATGTTTTAGAAGCATGAACCTCTACTACTTGAGCTAAAGCACCAGGTCTCTTAGCTCAAAAGGATTCAACTCACAAAACACGGTCTAGCCATTAGAGGGAGACAAAAGGCCACAGCGCGCTTGCATGGGTTACACAAACTGCTGCAATAAGATCTGTGCGTTGGCTTAAAACGAATGCTGGCCCCAGACTGGCAATGAAGCAAGGAGAGGCCAACGTATAGCAGACTCCCTCATTCCTGGGGACTGCAGTCCCTCCAGGTGGTGAGTTTAACCTTGAATCTGTGATTTTCTTCCCCCTCTGCTTCTTTGCTTGCTGCTTTATAGGTGATCAGAGCAACAGCAAAGCTGGATTATCCCAATACATTTTAATGCCTGCTCCAGTATATTGACTATTCATGATTTTTCTCTGCCAGGACCTCTCCATTCGGCACACTGATCAGGGTCACAGCACTCCTCCGAGGAGTCAAACCCTCAGTGCGAACGCTCAGCCCCAGAACCAAAGGAGGACAGAGCACAGGGGCCTTTCTAGTCACCATCCATTTATAAATGCTGTAATGCCCTGTACCTACCCAAAGACAACTGGCTCAAGGGCCACTCTGGTAACTAGCCAGACACCTAGATTACATAGGAATCTACATCAGTTGTTGCATCAGAGAGCAATGCAAACAGTCCCGTCATCTACCCGTCCTGAACTCCTCCTGGATCAATGAGTAGAACTAGCTTGTTGGCAGAGTTACTAAAAGCCACCGCTTGCTCCGCTCTGTTCTCACCATGCGGTTACATGGTGGTTGTGGAAGTGGAGCTGCAGTTCAGAGAACAGTCCCCGGCCACGGATGCTTGCAGAGTGGCAGGAGTCCCGTTGCCTGCTCCTGTCCAGCTTTGAACAGAGTCACCTCTGTCATACTCCTCTGCCCCCAAATTCTTTTCAACTCCGGATCCCCTGCTTCCAGCCCAGGAAGAGCAAGGCAAAGGCCAACGAACTCACCACCACAGCCACGTTAAGTTCTCTGGCGAGCGTCTTCAGTTCCCTGGCCAGCTGCATCATGAGGGCCAAGCCTGTGGAAGACGATACAATGGTATTTCAGGGCCGGCTTCCATCGGCAGTTTCTTAGAGACCTAGGACCCTCTCCTGAGAGGATGGATCAGGAGCAGTTTCCTCAGTCCTCCGCACTCCCACTCAGGCAGGTGACCCCGATATAATATGGGAACTTAGTGCAGTTGATACGTGCGTATTTGTCAGTCCCTGGATATTTCTCATAACCAGGGAGCAAATCTACCATAGGCAGCAGCAGTTCTATCTTTCCCTCCTCCAGCCCCAACACACACCCCATTAACGGGCACCCCCCCTGAGCCAGGGGGACCAGTGCTAGAATAATATCGCCACCTAGCTCTTCTACGGTGCTTCTCATCCATAGATCTCAAAATGCTTTACAAAGGAGGTCAGTAGTATTATCCCCATTTTACAGATGGGGAAACTGAGGCACAGAAAAGGGAAGCAACTGATGCACGGTCATCCCATAAGCCAGTTGGAGAGCCGGGAATAAAACTCCTGAGTCCCAGTTGAGTGCTATATTCACTAGGCCACGATGCCTTCCCCCACTAGGCCACATGACTGTCCATGACCCATTCAACCCTTTGCCTCTCTGCTGAGACTGCCATGCAGCCCTAATTGTGATGGTGACCAGTGTGCACACTTGTCCTCTAGAAAATTATCCCCTCCCCATCCCATGGGGGCTCAGGGATCAGACTATACTGGGGATCATCGACAGCACAGAATACCAGCTGGAAATGTTGCAGGTAATTAGCGAGATCCAGAAGAAAAACACTGGAATTGTCTGTCCACACCATGGGCAGCTGCAGTGTTTCCTTGCTGCAGAGATCCAGTTTCGAATCCTCAAACCATGCTCGCTCCACGGTGCCCCTCACTCACCCTCCGCCTGCCTGCCTCCGAGGAGCGGGCAAATCACAGCTGAGACAGAGTCAACCACCAGCACCTTCACCGGCCCCGAGGAGCTCAGGACCTAGGGAGCAAAGCCCAGAGCAAAGTGTGAGGGCAACACATGCAGAGTGGCACCGGTAAAGCTTGTGCCAGCACGGGATGCGTGGTCACCAGCAGCTCTGGGGCAGGATGAATAGATTGGAGTCCTGAAGAAGCCTGGAAATCCTGATGTCAGCAGAACAGTCCGCCCCATCCTGCACACTCGGATTCATGCGAGCAGCCCCCTGGCTTCCCAGGATCAGGCCACCGCTCGGACTGGGTGGATCTTTACACAAATCACAGCGAGAAAGCCAGAGCCCCACCTCCTGGGACACGCTGCACCGCAGCTCCTGTAACACATCCAGCATTTTATAGACGTCGAACACCCGGGCCACCTGAATCCTCTGCAGAGCCTCCACCTGCAGGGAGAGGAGAGCAGAAGCATCACGCAGAGACAGCTCATTCAGACCCGGCCTTTACCCTCTCCATAAACCGCACCAACGTCCAAACCCAAAACAAAACCTTTCAAAGTCCGGGTGGCTACAATACGTTAGAACCTGGTGCCCAGCATTCTCAGCCAACACATCTACAAGCATCTTTAATTCAAGGGTCCTCATCCCTGCCCACTGCCCCCGTGTAGCAGTGCCATTATCCCCGTTTTACAGGTGGAAAAACTGAGGCACAGAATGATTAAGGCCAGTTTGGCAGCTTAAATCTATAACAAGGGACCTGAATAGGTGGCCTGATTCTCAAGAGGTGCTGGGCACCCAGAGCTTCCACTGAGCCAGGAAAAGAAGGTTTGGGGCTCATAGAGGGAGCCAGGAGAAGCCCAAGAAGACAAAAGGCTGGAGCATGGAACTGCCTGAAAGTCTATAAGAGGGAAAATTGGATTTCTGGGTTCTGGGGCACGCCGCTGTCAGCGACACCAGCCGAGGAGTCACTAACTCTGTGGCTCTCCAACTGCTCCCAGCACCAAGTCAGTGATGCAGCCACACTGACCTGCTCCTCCTCATCCCCCGTCCTGGTCTGAGCCAGCTGGAGCAGGCGAGAGGCCGTGAACCCGCCCGTGGAGTCGACGTAGAGGACATTCTGCTTGAGGTCGTGGGACGAGCTCACGGCTATGCTGAGGCACACCTAGGAGGGAGAGCGTGTGGATGGATCTCACCCCATTCCAGCCATCCTTCCTAGCGGAGGGGCTTGTTTTCATACTGAACCCCAGCACATTACACCTGAGCCAAGCTAAGGAGCGGGCTCGCTGTCTGCAAACCACTATGACGCAGCGACCGGACAGCGGAGCCCCCAGGGCCCTTCACCTCTGCTGGTCGGGAGATTGACGCAGGCCTCACCAAACAGATCCAGGCCTTTGACTCCATCCGGGCTACTGCCATGTGCTCTAGGTAAAGCCTGGTTCACAGCCCTAAGTTTCAGACATGGTGCAAGATGAGTCAGTTTAACGCGTCTCTTTCTTTGGGCTAGTAGCTGAAGAAGATCAGTGGCCACAGGGGATAGGATGAGTCTGGATTCTCGCCGGCAACAGCTGTTTATTGGTCAATTGTTGTAAATATCCCCCAGTTAGCACCAGTGAGCACAGTATCAACCATCAAACAATGAAAGGTGGAATAACGAATGAGGCCCGAGCTCCCTCTTCCCTGTGGATGCCGAATGTGCCACAGGTGACGGGGTGTAGGGAGCTGCCACCTTAAATAACTGGGGCAGGGGGAGGCATTATAACATCTGCTCTGTTAGGCACAGAACGGCCCACCTGTGTCTTGCCACTGCCAGGTGCTCCTGTGAGCTCGGTCACTTCCCCAGTGTACAGGCCAGAGTCCAGCAGCTTGTCCAAGCTAAAGGAGAAACACACCACAACAACAACGAGAATCAACTATACTGAGCTAATGAAGGCTGGAAATCAGAAACCTCTGGGTATCTGTGTCTCAGATGTACTCAGCCAGCACATTCACATCCCCACAGACTCTCCCCCGACCTTCCCCTCGCTCCCCTTTCCGCTTCTGGCGAGGGAGGGCAAACAACAGCAGGGCAGGGGTAGGAACAGAGTCTGAACAGGGAATGGGGAAGCTCTGGAGCATGAAGGCAACAGGTGGGCTTCTCTGAGGGGTCGCACTCGATTATTACAAGCAGTAGGGACAGAGAAAGGCGGAGTGGTTGATACCCAGTATCGAACGGTTAATTTCTATGCCTGGTCCTCACGCTCAGGGCCATCACGACTCAATGCTGTTCTGGAAGCAGTAACCATCCTTAATGGCTCAAATCGCCACCTGGGCAAATGCTGATAACGTTCTGCAACCGAATGGGATAAAACTCTCCGGCACCGATGCAGCAGCTGTGCAAGTGCATGGGGAGATTAATACATTTGGCAGGGGGGTCAGAGCAAGGTTCAATTGCAGGAGTGTAGGCTGGTGGCTTGAAATAGGTGCCCGGTGCTAACATGCTAATGCTGTGGACCAGCAAAGCTGAATCTCTCTCCTCTCAAGAGGCAGCCCCGCTGATTCCAGATGCACAAGGTCCCCAGCTCAGCCCCTGCTGGGAGGGAATCCCTGACAGATACCGCGTCAGCTCAGATCTCAGCCAAGCGGCTCGAGCTGTCTCCAGGTTGAAGCTTAAAATCCAACCTGGCTTCTGGCTGGGGAAGGGATGAACCCTTCAGCTTTAACCCTTGCCCCGCTCCCCTTCGCATGCGACGTCCTCACCTCTCACTCCCTGTGGACAGGATGGCTGTGGAGCTCTTGAGTTCCTCGTAGAGATCCGCCCCGTTGACAGGAAAAGCTGAAAACTGTGCCAGCAACACACGTCTCACGGCGACCAGGGCCTGTGGGAACAGACGGCCATCCCCAAATGGGACACTGAAGAATTCGGAGAGAGCTTTGTGGCACAGACTGTCCTTGTTCTGGTTTGTACGGTACCTAGTATAATGGGTTGTGGTCCGTGACTGGGGCTGCTAGGGGACTACCTCAGTACAAAGAATGACGACTTCCCCACAGAAGGAGCTTTTGCAGATAGACGGAAGGCCCTAAGGAACATCGGGTCAGATCTACAGCTCCCAGCAGACAGACTGACTGGAGTGGGTGATGCACTGTTAGCCCACTCATGCATTAAGGTGAGGTCTCTGCAGACAGACGACCCACATCAAAGCATTTGGCTAAACATGGCTCTCTCCGGCAGGCTACAGCTTTAGCTCCCAGATTAAAGATCAACACCAAGGAATCTCTTCTCACCTTGTAGGACAGGGAGCACTTCCGGGCAACTTCCTCCAGGTCCGAGGAGACAAGGTCCACCACTGCAAGTAACATTCAGAGATGAGCAGCTGGAGGCCAAAATGTAACAGCCCTGAAATGCCAGGGAACTCCTTAGACACAACACAGCGGGAGGCTATTCTGCCATGTCCTCCCTGGGCCAGAAGACATAACATGCAGCTGTACACACCTACACACACACAGACACCGAGCTGCGTTAACTGAGCTCAGCCCAATGGCTAGCAGGACTCCCTGAGCAGCGGTGAATCAAAGGAGCACTCACTGAAGAGGTCACAGGGCTCATCTGAGACACGTTCACTCCTGGGCTTCTAAAGGAACACAGGGTAAAAAGTGAACGGCCTTTGGGGCTGAGCAAACCCACTGCACCGTCGGCGTTAGCTGCTCAGGAGACGCGCGGGGCTGCAACGGCAGGGAGCGCAACCCGGCAGGATCCAAATGCGTTGGCAGAGTGGCGTGGGAATAGCAGACAGCGCCTAAGTGCAGCATGACAGTGCCCCCGCAGAGCCTGGAGAGGCCCAGCAGACAACGCGTGACATCCAATCTACAAGGCGTGCCAAGTGCCAAAACGCTGCGGTGCTGGACACGACGCCAAAGCCTCGGGGTGCGTGTCCCTGGGAATAGGATGTGTGACTGCGGCACGCGCAGACGCCCCTGAGCTCGCGAGCTCAGAGAACTGTGGCAAGGAAGCCACGGCACACTGTACGCACCCGCTTGGGACCCCGCGTATGTTCTCGCATGGCCGCTGCCATAGCGTTACTGCTATTGTTATTCAAGCCGGCTAGGTCACGGCTATGCTGCATTCACAGCACGGACTGCAGCGCAGACATAACCTCCGATACAGAGAGGAGACAGACACAGCTCCGGGCGTCTGGCTGCCTTAACGGGCTGGGGCTTCAGTCACATGCCCCCCGTCACTGCTGAGGAAGGCATGAGCCCCATCTCCCTCCCTACTCTGCTCCAGCGAGAGAACAGAGTCCAGCAGGAGGATCTGGGAATGCTCCTTGAGCGCAATACTGAGCTCCCAGCCAGTCCTCACCCGTTGGTGCGGGAACACAGCCCCGCAACACAGGCCAGCGGGCAAAAGAGCTCTGTGCCCTCCTCTGACTACTCCCTGGGGTTCGCCCAGAAGTCCAGGTGGGGGAGACCCTACTGTTGAGCCCCCGGGCTGCCCAGTTACCTGTTGCAATGCTGTTGGCTTTCAGAAGCTGGATCATCTCTGCCGTGAGGCCGGGGCAGAGGCCTGCTCGGAGTATCACCATGTCCCTGTGACAGCCCCTGAAGGGATGGGGACAGGATCGACATGTGGGGAGGCCGAGCGCCACGCAGTCCTGCACCCTGCGCAAGAGAAGAGGGCTGGTCTGTTATTCCGGGGACACGGAAACGCCATTGCCCTTCACTCTCCGTACCACCCCCTGCTTCTTGGTTGCAGCGGCCCAGCTCAACGAACAAAGCCACGGCCAAGTCCCGCGGCCAGCACTGCGAGCGATGACCATTGCAGGGCTCGCCATGCTACACCGCACACCAGGGGCCGTCTCTCGGGATCGGGGATGGACGGAATCTGTGTAGCCTGCCTCTAGATCACAGCGGGGCCTGGATCCTCAGGTCACTCACAGGTTTATGCATAATTATTATTTATTGCGCGTCTCGTGCCAGCACCTAGAGGCTGTCATGAGGGATCTATTGGGCTAGGCACTGGACGCACACAATGAAAAGCCAGTCCCTGCTCCATCTTTCCAAGAGAGGTCTCCAAGCCCTTTGCGCTGGTCCCAGCATCTTTGCTTGAACACAGCGGTGGCCGGGAGTTTGGCAGGGTAGAAATCAGAAAGCCTGCGCCCAGCTCTGCCATTGCTAGCGAGGAACACGCACGCACACCACCTCCCAGCTGTTTGCCAGGCGATGGCCAGACCCTTGTGACTGCAGGGGGACCTCAGGCCTGGCTGCAGGGAAACAACCAGCCCTAGGGAACCTTACTCCTAATGTGTAGGACTGCAGGGAAACCAGCATGCCATGAGCAGGGCTCCTAGGCACTACAGTCACACAAATAATAAAGGTTTCAGAGGAACAGCCGTGTTAGTCTGTATTCGCAAAAAGAAAAGGAGTACTTGTGGCACCTTAGAGACTAACCAATTTATTTGAGCATGAGCTTTCGTGAGCTACAGCTCACTTCATCAGATGTTTACCGTGGAAACTGCAGCAGACTTTATATACACACAGAGAATATGAAACAATACCTCCTCCCACCCCACTGTCCTGCTGGTAATAGCTTATCTAAAGTGATCAACAGGTGGGCCATTTCCAGCACAAATCCAGGTTTTCTCACCCTCCACCCCCCACACAAATTCACTCTCCTGCTGGTGCTAGCCCATCCAAAGTGACAACTCTTTGCATAATCAAGTCGGGCTATTTCCTGCATAGATCAAGGTTTTCTCACATCCCCCCCACCCCCATACACACACAAACTCACTCTCCTGCTGGTAATAGCTCATCTAAACTGACCACTCTCCAAGTTTAAATCCAAGTTAAACCAGAACATCTGGGGGGGGGGGGGGGTAGGAAAAAACAAGAAGAAACAGAAGAAATAATAAAGAATCCCAGAAGAGCCTGGTGCACCGAGAGCCCTTGCAGGAGCACCCAGCCGAACACGATTCTGAACACGGCATCACCCCATTCCCGTTCCAGCCACTCCCCCGACACGCACGGCTCTCACCGTTCGCACCTCTGTCTCCAGTGCGGACCTGGAGTAAGCGGCTGCGTTACGGGGCTCTGGCAGGGCTAGCCAACCCGGCACCCCCCGCCCCAAGGGCGGATCAGCCCCACAGCGAAAGGGGACGGGAACCAGCTCAGCCCCGCAACAGCTGCGGAGCGACCATCCGCCCGCAAGCTCAGCCCCGAGCGCAGAGGGGCCAGAGGTCCCGCTTTGAGCGGGCCGCTCCCGATATTCGGGGCTTTGTCTTATATAGGCACCTATTGCCCCTCCCCCAAGCCCTGTCCCAATCTGTCCCACTTGCTATCGGAGCATGCCCGGGCACCAGCGCTTAATCTGTGCCAGGGCTGAGCCCCGGCACCTCTGGGCTCGCTGCATCAGTTATGAAGGTAAAAGCCTTGCTTGCCCCCCCGGCACCTCCTGCATGACAAATGAAGCCCTGCGGAGAACAGACCCCCTCTGACCCGCCACTGGTGAACCCCAGGGAGACACCGCTTGCTCACCTGCGCGCACCATGCCCCACACAGCTCAGATCCCCAGCTCAGCTCCCCAAGGCTGACTCTGCCTCCACTTCCTGCTCCTCTGCCGGGTTCAGAGAGCAAACAGCAAGGCAAGGCTCAGCCCTCACTGCCTATCTCCACCTGCTGGCTGCCTGGGGAGAGCAGCAGGAGGAAGGAAGTTCCAGCAGAAGCAGGAAAACACTACCCACATGTGCTTTCCCGAACCAGGGCCACAAGTTTGAAATCATTGTAGAACAACAAATGTTTTGCACTTCTGTAGCCCCTTCCTTCCCAGAGCTCAAAGCAATCATATTGGAATCACCCCCAAGGTGACAGTGCCCCCCACTATAGTCAGATCCACACAGGGGGACCCCTGGGACCTAACAGTAGGATCCAGGCCTATAATAACTGGAAGAAGTTAGGTTTCAGAGGAACAGCCGTGTTAGTCTGTATTCGCAAAAAGAAAAGGAGTACTTGTGGCACCTTAGAGACTAACCAATTTATTTGAGCATGAGCTTTCGTGAGCCACAGCTCACTTCATCAGATGTTTACCGTGGAAACTGCAGCAGACTTTATATACACACAGAAATCATGAAACAATACCTCCTCCCACCCCACTGTCCTGCTGGTAATAGCTTATCTAAAGTGATCAACAGGTGGGCCATTTCCAGCACAAATCCAGGTTTTCTCACCCTCCACCCCCCCACACAAATTCACTCTCCTGCTGGTGCTAGCCCATCCAAAGTGACAACTCTTTACATAATCAAGTCGGGCTATTTCCTGCATAGATCAAGGTTTTCTCACATCCCCCCCACCCCCATACACACACAAACTCACTCTCCTGCTGGTAATAGCTCATCTAAACTGACCACTCTCCAGGTTTAAATCCAAGTTAAACCAGAACATCTGGGGGGGGGGGTAGGAAAAAACAAGAGGAAACAGGCTACCTTGCATAATGACTTAGCCACTCCCAGTCTCTATTTAAGCCTAAATTAATAGTATCCAATTTGCAAATGAATTCCAATTCAGCAGTTTCTCGCTGGAGTCTGGATTTGAAGTTTTTTTGTTTTAAGATAGCAACCTTCATGTCTGTGATTGCGTGACCAGAGAGATTGAAGTGTTCTCCGACTGGTTTATGAATGTTATAATTCTTGACATCTGATTTGTGTCCATTTATTCTTTTACGTAGAGACTGTCCAGTTTGACCAATGTACATGGCAGAGGGGCATTGCTGGCACATGATGGCATATATCACATTGGTGGATGTGCAGGTGAACGAGCCTCTGATAGTGTGGCTGATGTTATTAGGCCCTGTGATGGTGTTCACCTGCACATCCACCAATGTGATATATGCCATCATGTGCCAGCAATGCCCCTCTGCCATGTACATTGGTCAAACTGGACAGTCTCTACGTAAAAGAATAAATGGACACAAATCAGATGTCAAGAATTATAACATTCATAAACCAGTCGGAGAACACTTCAATCTCTCTGGTCACGCAATCACAGACATGAAGGTTGCTATCTTAAAACAAAAAAACTTCAAATCCAGACTCCAGCGAGAAACTGCTGAATTGGAATTCATTTGCAAATTGGATACTATTAATTTAGGCTTAAATAGAGACTGGGAGTGGCTAAGTCATTATGCAAGGTAGCCTGTTTCCTCTTGTTTTTTCCTACCCCCCCCCCGATGTTCTGGTTTAACTTGGATTTAAACCTGGAGAGTGGTCAGTTTAGATGAGCTATTACCAGCAGGAGAGTGAGTTTGTGTGTGTATGGGGGTGGGGGGGATGTGAGAAAACCTTGATCTATGCAGGAAATAGCCCGACTTGATTATGTAAAGAGTTGTCACTTTGGATGGGCTAGCACCAGCAGGAGAGTGAATTTGTGTGGGGGGGTGGAGGGTGAGAAAACCTGGATTTGTGCTAGAAATGGCCCACCTGTTGATCACTTTAGATAAGCTATTACCAGCAGGACAGTGGGGTGGGAGGAGGTATTGTTTCATGATTTCTGTGTGTATATAAAGTCTGCTGCAGTTTCCACGGTAAACATCTGATGAAGTGAGCTGTGGCTCACAAAAGCTCATGCTCAAATAAATTGGTTAGTCTCTAAGGTGCCACAAGTACTCCTTTTCTTTTTGGAAGAAGTTAGCAACAGATTCCTCCCCTTTTTCTTTTGTCAGCTGTTTACTTTGGCAGTGCTTCATACAATCCTTTTCATTGCTCCTCTGTATAGTCAGTTGGGCCCCACGCCTGCAAGGAGCTTCTGTGCACACAGGCGGGTCAGACACCTTACTTCGCCCCCATCCTGCATGTGTTTAACTTCATTCATGTGGGCAGCCCCGTCAGGTGCAATGAGGCTATGCTCGGGCATATCACTCAGCACATGCGTGAGCGGGACTTTAATTGTTTAGCCCAGATCCTCAGAGGTATTTAGGCACCTAACTCCAATTGAAATCTAGATCCGTAAGGCCCACTGATTTCAACAGAAGTTGGAAGCCTAAATACCTTTGAAAGGCTGGGTCTTTCTTCCTTGCTAAAATACCCCTCACAGAGAAAGCAGAAAGAAAAACTTTTCTACACTGTTTTTAATAGCATTTTGTAAAGAATTAAAGAGACACCAGGGCCCCTGTTAGAAACAAACACCGGTTAACAATAATACCACTGAGCATGCATACAACACCTAGGTATCTTCAGATCATAGTACACTAACCAGCTTGCTGTAGAAATCCCTTGTCAATCATCCAAAACTGCTCTGAATCTGATATGTAACTTAAAACGACCACAATTTTTCTATGGCTCAGTAAGACAACTGCAGAAGAGGGATGGAGGAGAAGGGAAATCCAAACGTACTCCCAGGTGGGATTCAGTTCTAATCAGCTGTTTTATAGAAGGATGTGTCCTGCTTGCCAGCCAGAATTAGCACAGGTGATTGCAATTAAGTGCCTCCCTGGATCTATAAGTAGTGGGAAGGCGGGGGGAGGGCATTTGCAGATTGATTGCTAAAGTAGTAGATATTGCTAGTGTTTGGTGAAGGGCTGGTTGGGGAAGAGTGTTGGTGCTGAGAGAAGGGAAGTTTTGAAAAGGAGGAGCAGCAAATGTTAATGAAGTAAACTAATATTGAGATTAGTTAGAAACTAGAGCCAGGTATAGAACTGAAGAGCAAGGTATACTAGATTACTGGTTTTTCTGAATGAATGTCCCTAAACTCCATCTCTCTTTCTGACCTAATCCCTGCTGAATGTTAGGAGCAAAAATTCATTCTTACAGTGGCTTGTATCAAGTGAGCAAGGATTGCAAGTTGGCGCTCTTTTCTCTTGCATAAACTGCTAATTAGGAGAGGTTCATGAAATGCAACTCTTTATTTTTGTGAGGGTCTCTAGGAAACAGTAGCTAGAATCTGCATACTAAGGCAGCAGAAATGAAACCTCTTAAAATATTCACTGTAAGGGAGCAGGCAACTTGAATGCGATAAGAAAATCTGTTACTTTCACTGACATGGCTCCTTCAGAGGAGGACTTGTAGCTTTAAACAAGTCTGTGGTCTTGTTAGTGTTCATGTTAAAATTACTCCAGCAGCTTCAGGTAGCAAATCTAAAACTCTGGGTCTGCAGAGTTTTAGCTCTGAGCACTGCAACCAAATAGCTACCTGAAAGCAAAGTAGCTAAAGTCCTTGATAAGGATCCTGAGGTAGAAGTAACCAAAATGCTCTTCAGGGGTATATTGAAGCAATGTTTGATTTCTGGGCTCAGTTAACTGTTCTCTACAAACATGCAGTGATCATTAGCTAATACTGCAAGTTCTCTGGAGGCTTTAAATACTATCATAGCTTAAGAATGGGTAAAGCTTGCTGTTGAAAGACTTCTGTACAAATTCTTGATCTAATAGTCCCACCCTTGAGTCCACTAGGGCTAGAGTGTATAATCCACAAAGCAAGGAAGGGATACTTTTCCTGTGCTAAACTCTCTCTGACATGCTAACCTGCTACTGATTCTCTGAAAAGCAGGCAGGCTTCTGTGATATAGGAAGAGAAAATGAAACCAGTGTCAATTTCAGACCTGTTTAATGGCTGTCTTAACTACACTCTGAGTTGGCTTCTGAATGACCATCTGAATTAACCTCCCTTTCTAGTTCCATGGGCACAAGTAGCCTTTTTAAAGAACTGACCGCTTTCTTGGAAAGTGATCCTAACCTGTGGAATGAACTGCCACAGGATCCAAGGTCTATCACAAATTTTTCCACCCTAAGGCCAAGGAGTTTTTGACCTGACTTTCTCTACCAATACCAAATACAGCACTGTGTATACTCTTAAAAAAACAACAACAACGCATTCCCCTGCACACACTTCTCCCCTGAGGGGAAGGAGAGCAAACACATGAGATGCTAGTCACTCTGCTTAATGCATGACTGGAAGATGCTCAGATACTATGGTAATGTGCTTGGTATAAAATCCTACATAGACTATAACAAAGCAGGGTTCATTTCCTTAGTGCCGTTTTGGAAATGGCTGGCGGTTAGCTCTGCTACTCGGTTGAATGTTTTGGCTGTACAGTAAGAAGTCAACTCTGAGATTCTGTGATGCGCTCAGTGGGCTAGTAAGATATCTTGCTAAAAGCTTCTCTCCCCAGATCCTGCTTATGACACACAGCCCTATTCAAACTTCTTCAAAGGTACTCAGGCCTGGGAATACTGCAGAACTGTGCTGAAAACTATGTAGCTAGGAATAAGCATAGTCCCTTTTAGCTTTCTCCTTCAGGCAGTCTTTGTCTTGTCACGAGGACTTGAGACACTTACTGGAATCTCAACTCCCTACAGAGCACGCTGACAAACAGCAGGCTGTTCCTTTGGAAACTCTCTGTCGGATCCTCTGAACTGGTAGCCTTGAGCCTACCTCTTAAGTCTACCACTTCTTCCCCCCCCCCCCCCCCATCCACAAGGCTTGTTATCCTGTCAAAGAAGGCTATCAGTTTGGTTTGACAGGATTTGTTCTTGACAAATCCATGCTGACTGTTACTTATCACCTTATAGATGTTTGCAAACTGCTCCAGTATCTTTCCAGGTACAGAAGTTAAGCTGAGTGGTCTCTAATTCCCTG